ACGAGTAGTGGAAACTCGACTCTACAGGCCTACCATCATCACTATCGTCAGTAACCAACCGTGTCCTCTTCATCCTCCAACAATAGCAATTGGCTAACGTACCCGGCCCTCAGCCCAGTTCTGCATCTCCGTTATGGGCAACGGAGCCCTGTATATCGATGTCGTGACCCACCATAGTGGTATTCCGAGAAAGATGACGACTACCCAGAACGAGAGGAGGACGTTGATGCGTCGCTTGATGGAGGGAAGGTCTTCGGGTGGAGGTTGCTTTTGGGCGGTTGTGACGATGACTTTGGCGGGATCGACCGGCTCTACATCGTGAGTTGATTCGTCTTGTAGTAAGGGTTCCTTTTCTGTCGGATTCAGTGACATGGTGAGGATCGAGTGGGTCAAGTCGTCATGGATCCTCAGTCGCGAAAGGAGTGGTGAGAGTTGGTCGGTGGTGTCGTTGAATTAGACTACCCGCGACACGGTGGGACAAGAGATGGCCCGCCAAGCATCCACGTTGCACCGTTGAGATAGAGTGCATCACCAGAAAATGTGTTTATCAGATGTTTAAACAATGACGACAAAAGAGATGGAGACTTGAATGATATATGCAAATGTAACTGATTGATTTTGTATTATGCTTGGGAATGACTAACTATATGCTAGATATTTGGAATGGGAGATCCTCTACTCGTCCTCTGGCTCGGCAATAATATTCATGAGGTTCCTCCCCTTCAGGGCTGACGCCTTGCCAGTATTGTTGTTGCGAATCTGTTGCGTAAAGATTAGCAGAGTGATCCCATAATGGGATGCTTCAAGGGTGCACACTTCGTATTGAGGCACTTGCGGAGTAGCGTTGACAGCAACCTGTTGGTCACCGGCTGGAGTTTTGGACGTCAAAACACGTTGAATGACACCGGTAGACAATCCAGTGTTGGAATCCGGTCCTGTTGGCTATCAATAACGACTTCACAGACTATCTATAAGCCATACTTACCTCCAATGGGTCTGTATTCGACCGTCTGACCAGCCCTATACTTTGTCTCTACGCCAGAATCATCTGCTGGCCGAGCTGGAAGATTTCGTGCACGAGCTGTGCGAGGTCTAGGTGTTGGAGAGTCGTCGGTTTCATCACCGGAGGATTCAGATTCCGATTCCTCCATGAACTCGAACTCGTCCGCTTCCGGAATAGGCGAGTCTAATGGTGCTGGAGATGCTTCATACTCGGGAGTTGGTGATGGTGATGGCGAATCAATCTCTGGAGTAGGGGTCGGGGTATCAACTGGGACACGAATTGACTTGTATTTCTTGGTCTGAAGGGCTGGCATAGTGAAGAATTGTCTGAATCGTTGTCGTTTGCTTGGTATCGGCGGATGAGGAAGTAGATGTTGATGATCTTCAAACATCTTGACCGGCCCGTTTAAATAGAAGTAGGTCAAGATGGATTGGAAGCTTAAAGCATATTTGCAACATTCTAGAAGTCAACATTTCAGTTGATTTCTTCGATGACGAGTGTCTGTTTTAACGTCATGATCCGGAGCTTTTGGTCGCATTTGTCCGCCCGGTTTACCTTAAACCGTTGCCAAGTTGTTCGGAATTGCTCAATTGTGAGTAAGCGCTTGGGCAAGTTACTTCCTAGCGCAGCGGGCTATCTTTCCCTCCGACCCAACTTTACCTTCGTCCCCCACTTCCAAACCAGAACAACAACCATCTCCATGGTCACTTTCGACTGAATTCCTCCTGTTATGGCACAAAACAACGACTCTACACCAACTCAGTATCATCAAAACAACAAGACCACCCTCGCAATCAGCAACCCATCTGGCATGAACCTCGTCTGCACATCGGAGACAGCCCACCAGAACATCGCCAACCTCCTCCCACATTCCTCACTCGACGGCCGCACTCGCTCCACCGTCGGCATCCCGTCTCTTCGCTCTCTTGCACTGCCGGAGTTCGACTCCCTCCCATACGACTAGGCCTCCCTAGCATCACCCTCAGCTTCATCGTCCAACAATGTCTACCGAAAGCGACGAATCCGGCCAGGAGGGAAACGCGATCCTCGCCAGAGCGGTAAGACACCATCAGAGACTTCACATCTTCCAACAAAGTGCTGACTTTTTTTCCTCTTAGTGCGACTCGTGCCGAACCAAGAAGGCAAGGCTCCACCACCCTCACGGAATCACGGATTCATTTGAATTCGCAGGCCTTAGATGGACCGGAACTCGGGGCTAATAGTACCTGCGTAGATAGGATGCGATAAGAAGTACCCCTGTTCTCGCTGCAAGGCGAACAACCTCGTGTGTCAAGCAAGTGCCCCTAGGGCGAGAGACAAGAAGCAGCGAATCCATGTTTCCGAAAAGTTGTACGTAAACCCTTTTTGGCGGAGGGGCTAGGCTGGGAATGGCACTAATGGAAACAATAGCGAAAAGCAGATGAACTCGCTCCACATCCGTCTTGAAAACATCGAAAACCTCCTCCGTGTCCGCCTCGACGATCCAAGACAAGCACCGTTCATCGAGCCCGATTCATCACTGCCAACAAAGGTCCAAATCGACGAAACCCTCCTTAAACAAACTCGAGCTCACATTAACGCCTCCAAACTTATCCTAGGAGCCTCAGAACTTGGTCCTCTTGGGATTCTCGAAAATGAACTGGACCAGGATAGCAGTAAATTCTACTTGGGTGATTCGTCACTCCTCTCTGCTACAACTGAGGCAAAGAATTTGTTGGAACGGGGTTTGACACCCGAGAGTGGAGGGCCTGTGGACCATGAACGGAATCCTAGTTTGTCGGTGGCTATGAAAGCATTGAATCAGCTCATGAAGAGTAAACATCATGACGACATCTACTTCCCAACGGAGACTCAGTACAAGCAGGAAATGAGTATGAAGAGCTTGCCGGTGCCGCCATTGAAGGATATCATTCGTATCATGCAGGATGATGGTATGTTCGCGAGGAACCAAATGAAAAACGTCTCGTTCTAATCAAACCGCAGCATTCCAAGGGTTCTGGCCGATGATTCCAATAAGGAGGGAGCGGTTCGAGGCCATGTATCAGCAGGTTGCATCATCACTCAGTACAGAGCGGGTCAACACAGCCGCATTTCTTTGCGTCAATGGATTCTTACCATTCTTGTTTCAGCAATTGCTCATGTGCTCAAAATCGGATAGGAAGTACACCGGTATTCCAGCTTCAGACATTGAAGAGATCCTAAAGAAATGCACCTACAATGCCCAAGTTGCGGCACGAAACCTGGGATTGCTCATGGCACCTACGTTGGAGAATATCCTGGCCTTACTCTTTGCTGTAAGTTACACTGAGCCAGACATTGAATCTTGCTAACGAACGAAAGTCTCTCATTGCCCAAGAAAACGGTACACCCGGGGAATGCTGGACTTACGCATCTCATGCCTGCCGCCTTGTTCAAGCCCTCGGTCTGCACCGTCGCTCCGCTTATAAGAACATGCCATATGAAGAAGCCGAAGAAGCGAAAACTGCATTCTGGTGGTGCTACTCCATCGACAAAGGACTCGCCCTCAACTTTGGAAGATCACCACAATTGTTGGACTACGACATCGACGTCGATATGCCAGAGATGCAAACCGGAAGCTGGGGCAGAGCCTACTATGTCTACTGCCGCGCCTACATCGAACTGGGTCGAATTCAAAGCAGAATTTACACAGAGCTATACTCTGTGGCTGCGGGACGAGCGAGCACGGAGGATAGGGAGAGGGCGACACAGGGAATCGTGACAGATCTGAAGGCCTGGTGGCTGCGGTCTTGTCAGGCTTTCTCTCAATCTCCCGAGTTTCAGAGCCAACCAGACCTCATTGCGGAAACATACCTTATGCGCTTCGGCTTCTACACCAATCTCGCCCTTGTCTATCGGGTTCGGTCGACTCACTCGTCCGCAACACCACCCCCGTTCGGTACACCGCCTTACGATCCTGACTGCCTCAACTCCGCTCGCCAAGCCCTGGCAGTTTGCAAGATCCTCCAGACGGACTTCCGAGACTCGTTCTCGCTCGCGTCCATCGCACAATGGCTCTTCCTTTACTATCCGCTTACTCCATATTTTATCCTCTTCGGCAACGTTGTTTCCACAGGAGACCAAGGAGATTTGAGAATCATGGAAGAGACACTGGCCTTCCTCAGCATGGTCAGGGAGGAAAATGGAGGCATGGAAAAGTTGGCAAGGCTAATGACAGTGTTCCTAAGGGTCGCCACGATTCTAGTCGAAGCGAGGCGGGGTCAACGCCAATCCCGAGGTGGCATCGAAGTGGGCGACTCTCCCACCTGCGTCAGCACCAGCGACTTCGGCATGGCCGTCCCCGACCCGCGCATCATTCTTCCCGATGAGGACTATGCCCTTAGACGACCAACACCACCACGCTCCATCTTTCCCAATGTTCCGACCTCCATGCCCCCAATAGTGACGAGTGCCCCTGCCGTTACGATGGCGGAGGCACCGGCACCACTTCATAACTTTGCTGGCGTGCCAGGCATGGGAGAGGCAATGGGCATGCAGGAACTCGGTGGTTTCTCCGATATGGACTGGGAGTTTTTCGCTCAGCAGCCGAGTATGAATTTCTTCTCTGCTGATGTGGGTGGTGAGTTCGCGTTTTTGTTGAATGAGCAGGGTGGAGGGCCTGCAGAGACACAGGGGGTACAGTGGTGAGATGGGTGGATTGCTGATGGCGTGTAAATGGGGACGAGAAATTGCTGTTTATATCGTTTTGGATATCTTTGTGTTCTGGTTTACTTGTTGATGGATGAATATTTACGAATTTACTTGGATCGATTTCTCCTCAAGGGGCTTTCCTTTGAGGCTTGTTCCATTGTGCATGAAAATGTCAAACTTCATCGATAGTTTCATAGCTCAGCTGGTTAGAGCGTGGTCCTAATACAGTATGATCGGTCGAGTCATAGCACGTTAAGGCCAAGGTCGAGGGTTCAATCCCCTCTGGGACTAGAATTTTGCCGTTTATTCCTCCCTGAAGCAGCTTACAGCAAGCTCATAATTGCCAAATAAGAAGGCTTAACACATATGGCCATAGATTGAAGACAGTACGGGATCCCGTCTGCTCTCCCATAGTCAAACTTCTAATCGCCAAGTTAGTATTGCGGTGGGTGACCACGCGGGAATCCTTGGTGCTGTATGTTTTGCATTTCCGGTGGGTGTCGAGGCCAATTCCACGTTGATTGTGTTATCTTAATCATCAACAGGCGATCGGTCTTGTTTTGAACCCAGTGGCGTTGTTGTTGAAGTTGGCCTATTAAACCGCTGCTTCCGCTGGCAGGTCACACAAAAGCGTCATGGCGGGGTAGCTATGACTTCTGTCGAAGGTCTTCATGGCCATATGGGCTGCTATTTCGGCTGCTGCGCTGCAAACTTGCCACCTTAAGTGGAGACTGGGGACGAGGCTATTTCGGCTGGTTATTACTTCATCAATTTCACTACTATCAAGACCAGAATGACATATCGGCCCGAGGGTTTGTTTTCCCCCACGAGTGTATTGTGTTTTTCTAATTGGTCTTTAAGTAGCTACTAAGTCACACTGAATATCCGTACAACCCGTACCAAGAAACTCTGCTTCCATCTCCAATATGGCGTTTATCTTCCACCACCCGGCTGAGGCGAATCACATTGAATCATCATTCGTTGGCGACGGCCCCGGAATAGCAGCCGCAACTTTCCGTGACCTACTCAGCATTGGTCCAAGTCAATCACTCCTCGAGGAACTGGAGGATTCCATCCGTCTACCCTTCTACTACGAGCCTGGGTTGACAGATCTTTGGGTAGATTTTCCGCAAACTCCAGCATTTTGAGAGACAGGCTACCAGTTCTTGGCCTTCTTCGAGCATCGACTGTTTCCATATCTCAGCGCTTCATGTAAACTTCGGAACTTGAACATACAGAGTCAAGACCTACGGCTATTGATGCTCGGATCGTGAAACGATATGCCTGGGTGGGTTGCTTGATTATACGTTGGCTCGACGCTTCTCTGCTCGACTCTTGCGGGAGAGCCAGATAGTGCTATCCACAACCATCCTTCAGAGAATGATGGACCGTCTCGAAGCCGAGATCAGGGCAGAGAGTTCGTTGGCTGAGATTCACGATGCAATGCTGTTCTTTACCGGGCTCATTGGTCTGTTCGATGTAGGGCCGAGAATGATGAGGTCGGAAAGGCTGGAGCATTTGTTGATCAGATACTAGTACCTTGATGAAGAGCCTGTGAATTTGGCGGTTGTGGCGGGTGTGGAGACTATGACTCGACGGTTGGCGCAGGATTCGCTGTGGATGCCTTGTCCTTTGACGGGGGTGAATCGGGAGGATTTATTTCGGGATACGGGAGATTCGTATCAATCGGCTGAGAGTGTGGATGTTTGGTGCTATCCGAGCTATTGTTGTGATAGCTTTACGTGGGTGAAGGAGCGATTGTTTGGCGAGTTTCGGTATCGATCTGCTTCGGTTTAAAGTGAAGGAGGTGGGTCTCTTGAGATGTACACGTAGCAATGCAGTTGCAAGGCTTTGCTGGCACTTTTGTACAGCCGCACAATTAATCAGAAAAAGTAATGGCATACTCCGTACTTTCTGCAGGCTTGGGTATGCATTGCATATGGAGTGTTGCACGAGCGGCTGAGCTGGAGGCTCGAGGGTAGGATACTCAACCACGAGAACTCTTAAACTTCGCTCTTCTCCCTTGCCGTTATGATTCCTTCTACTCCGTGACCGGAAAGCATCAGCGGGTGCTTAAAAGCTTAATATTGGCCAACGTTGCAGTCGACAAATATCGAGATCCCCTCCAAGAGTAAGTAGGCTTATAATTGGTATGCTTTTCACATAGCTGACTTACGTGCTAGCTTTCCTAGCTCTCCTCCGATTGCGCTCATAGCCGGCTACTTCTGCTGCGATGGCCGTCCGAGTCATACTTCAGTTTACCGAAAGACCAGCCTATACTCTCCCCACGCCGCAATCATATTCGCCCTTCGGACCGATAGAGCGCCGTCCCGCTTATAGGTTCACCGACTTGATGTTCAATCTAGAACATTATCACCTCGATAATCTTTTGCACTACTACGAGCCGGGTCACTTGCCAGATCCTACCGCCGCGAGCGCAGATTTAAAGGACATGGCGCCCTTTTCGATCTTAGGTCAGACTGGAGAGGATCTGAGGCAGTTCTTCAAACAAGTGTTATTCCCGTACTTGGAAGTTCTTCGATCAGAAAGGGACTTGGAAGGGGTGCCACCGGAGGCGACCTTAAGGCCGGATAACCTCGATATCCATATCGTTGGCGATTACTTTGCTACTATGTTCGACATTTTGAGGCATTGCAGCAAAAGGCGTGACGCCGGTCTCCTCCGAGATACTGAGATACGTCTTTTCGTGGAGTCTTCGAAGCGGATGATGCAGAACATAGGGTGCCTGATCGAACAGGATCGTGGGCCGAGTGAGATTTATCTGGCTTTGAAATGGTGGCGGTCCTACCCTTTTTCGCTTTTCCTTTTATTAGAATCCAACACGGTCGGGGGTCGAGGTCTAAGATCGGAGAGTTGTGAGGCTCGTATTCTAAAGTATCTCGACGAGCCAGGAGTGAATATGGAAGTCGTGAAGGGTGTCGAGGCAGCAACAGAACAATTCGCTCATCTCTGTATATGCCTCGGAGTCTTTGTCCTTCTCGAAGATTATTTTATCCGCCGTCCCGGATTTTCTTTCGATTACGAGGAACTTTATCCAAAGCCAACTCAGTCCTCTTATCAGTTCCCTGAGAGATTGGCGGAGCTTTTCTCGGACTGGGAGCGGGAGCCAGAGGTCACAATTGTTGACAGTGAGGACTCGGATTGCAATATTGAACCTGGAGAGCCTACCAGTGAGATCGAGACTGATGTAGAGGCCCGAGTACGAGGTTATGCGCAAACTTTTCCGGTAAGCATCAGCGTAGAGCTCCCCCCAAATCCACGGAACGAGGGAGGAAGTGAGCCCGTGGTGCTCGTGGTGCACGTGGGCGCGGCTCCTATCGGAAGTTTTTTCGAGGTATGATGCTCATTCCAAAGGCTGTTATATTACTGTGTGCGCATAAGTATATAGTATGAGCGCTAACCGGGTCATGGACTACAGGAAATTTAAAAGCTTAATTGTGAATGCATTCCAGGGCCGGGGGGCTAATTCAGCGGCACCCTAAGCTTACCTGGCCGTGTCACTTGGATATCGCTGTCCTTGGAACTTCTTGTGCGAGATTATGGTTAGACTGAATACTTCTAGCTTCTGGTTGGATCGCAAAGCTTTTGAAAGTTTGTCCTATAAATTGGTCTGCAAATCTGATCAGCTGAAGTTCACACTGAGAATGTTCCATTTCCGGCAGTTATTCTGTTAATTCGGCGTCTGAAAACACATATTACTTCTCTATTTCTCACGAGGATATATGTTTAGTGACTTCCTATCGTTTGAGTAAGAATGTTCGTCATATGGCGGCGGCGCGAGGATCGATCTAGCATATTGTGTGATCCTGTTGGCACAACCTAGCGAGCCTTCTGGGCTGGCCCGATATCCTTATGGCGACACCTTTCCGAGCATGATAGAATTGCTTCAAGTTCTTCCTCGAGCTCTTGAGATCTTACCATAGCAGTCTGCCATGTCACGAAGAGCTCATGATCCTATGTCACCATGATGAGGCTCTTGGCAGTGGACGGATACGTAATTATTTCCAATTAACGGTCCCAAGACGGGAGGGTGAGAAACGGGACACCACTCCCGTTGTTCAAACAAATCCAACTATGTTGGTGTTAGTACTAGATGGGAATGAAAGGCACGGGTAAGTTTTATAGTTTCAGTATTATATAACAAATGCCACTGTGGTAACGCAAACGAGGGTTGACAGGTTGAGAGATCGACTTCCCTGACGACTTCGAGCTTCGTCCTGAACATTCAGTGAATATAGTTGTACGAGACCGAGGGATCACGATCATACGATGCTTCGTAAGATCATCGAAGTACAACATATCAAGCAGATCGATGAGTTACTATTGAATCAATGGGTACCCCTCAAACGACCGCCTGCCGATTGCCGTTATGCCGATCTTTTCCCAAATAGGAAGTTTGGCGGCCGTTAAACGGTCGGTAGACGGTCGCTGATGTCACCGATCATCGTTTGAGGGTTATGTGCTTCCCCAATAGTACATTCGACTTGTACTTGTCCCTGGATCGGTTGGGCCCATGGGAATTCAAGGCCATACTAGCAACTTTGAACTTTCTGGCTGAAGCTCTCCATGCATGAACATGACCATGAAAAGGCGCTTAGTAGGCTTCCCTACTTGATGCACTAAGAATCACTCCAAAATCCAAGAAGAATGTACCGGAGTTAGAAGTTAAATTCAAAACTGTGCATTGTAAAAGAGACCCTGCTTCAACATCCCGGGCCAAAGAAATCTATCAGGAGTAACTAAACTTGAACTAAAAAAAGGGTGGAACCATCTTTCTAACGGTACTTATCCAAAGAGAAACAAATCCCAGACACTGGTAGTCATCCCACACGGTCACAACAGAAGTAGACTAAAAGTTAAAACAACGGAGACAAAAGGAAATAACAAGAGAACCAGTAAGTAGCTACTGCGCTGTACAACGGTCCTGCATGAGGACATAGTTACACGTAAAGCCAGGAGATAGAATGAAACAGAACGCAATCAACATGGAAACAACCGACTCGAATCTTCATGTGTGATATCACCCAGAAGATATCAACAACCCACAGCTTCCACTCGACGGACCACCATCACGACTTCCACGCACCGATTCAATACTGCTAAGTGTTTTTCGACTTCTTTGAAACTGGTGAACCGCTGCTGGTGGAACCTTCACCTCCCGAGCCTGAATAGGCCCGTTCTCTTTTGTGTCTCGGGGGGGAGCGTCTAGGATCGGTACTAGTAGATGGCCAACTTCCAAGGGCTTTCGCCGTATCCTTGCCTCCATAACGTCTCGCAATTAATCCCGACTTTAACGAAACTTTAGTGACTAGCGTACCGGGAATCGGATGGCCCCGATGCTTCAAGTGCTGCTCCCAACAACCAATACAGAACCGGGCTAGGCAATGGAGACACATCCAGTACTCATACAATTGATTTCCCTTCTCCGATTTGCCTGGGTATTCTGAAAGGGTCCCTAAGCAGTCTGGTTCGTAACCATCATCTGCGAAGTCGCAAGCGGCATCCAAACCCACGACGAATTC